TGTTTTCATACCGGCCACACTGGGTCCTCCCTTTAACTCGAGAACACCGACGTAATCGCCTTGAGTGGTGCAGACAACGGTCACTCTGTTATCAGGAATGGAACAGTATTGTCTTTAGTGACGAGTCTCGATTTTGTTTAGGCATGCACGATGGTCGCGCCAGGGTTAGAAGGCGACGTGGTGAAAGGAGGAATCCACAGTTTTTTGTTGAAAGACATGTTCATCACACTGTTGGAGTTATGGTTTGAGGTGCTATAGCTTATGGTTCCAGGTCACCTTTAATCTTCATCAGAGGTAACATGAACGCGCAGCGTTATATCCACGAAGTTCTAGAACCCCATCTTTTACCCTATCTTGACACCCTGGCAGATCCAACTTTCCAACAAGATAATACCCGACCACATGTTGCAAGAGTCACATTAGACTTCTTTCAACATAATGATGTCACATTGTTACCATGGCCACCAAGATCTCCCGACTTATCCCCAAATGAGCACGTGTGGAATATGATGGGTAGGAGATTGCTCAGTTTGCAACGTCCTCCTCAGACTCTAGAAGCACTTCGAGAGGAGTTGGTGGTTGCCTGGAATGAGATACCACAGGAGGACATTGACCACCTGATCAGAAGCATGCCTAGGCGCGTTGGAGAATGCGTAGCACATCAGGGTGCATCCACACATTATTAAAGGTCAAAGGGCTTTAAAGCAGTGCAATCATTTTGAAATTTTTATCATTTACTTATTATGCTTCATTAAGTACTTATACAAAATTTTATTAAAATAAAACCATTTAAACTGGGTGTTCGGATTTATATGTCACTTAGTATATATAAATTAATAGCTACTTCCACACCATCTTATTTATTGGAAATCCTAAACCTAGAAGAAATACGCCTTCTCTAAATTTAAGACGCGGGAATTACTCAAAAGTACCTACAGTATATTCAGATAAGAGATAGACCGGACATAAACAAGACCACGTGATCATCGAACGCTGTAACATTCGGCAGGGACGTATTAAGAGTCACGCAGTACATATTTTAGATAGTAGATGCTGCTTTGCGTAACTTTGTAGTAAATTAACACAATTCGATGTGTATACGATTGGTGATGGATATAGGATCATGTGGGGGTGGGGTAAGAAATATATAATGATGTAAATATACATAAGGGTTTCAAAATTTTCGCTTCGATTTCCAGCTTCGGATGCCGCCTGATGTTTGATGAAATACAGTCGAATATAATCTCAAAATGGCGTTTAAATTAGCCTAAATTAAAAATAATCGTATATCTCTTAAAATTGCTTTTAGAATATTGATTAGTATATTTTTTGATTTCTAGGTAAATATGTACACAAATTAAAACGTTCAAAACGTAAAAAAATGTGCATGGTTGAACATTGTCAGAAAGTAGATTCTTGAATAGGTTTTGCCAAAATGGGTTCAAAAATGTCAATAATTAATTAAAAAATACAGTAGCTTTATAATTACTTATAACTTACCGAATTTGATGAACGACATCTTTTATTGGAAAGATGAGCTTGATGAGCTTTCATCATCGCTACTGCCTGAAGCACCAACGTCAGTAATGAATGGCTCGACTTGTTCCTCTAAAATATTGTCTAGTTCCCACATTCTCTTTTCAACTTTGTCTTTCACGTGCTTAATACAGTTTTCCCATTTTTGCGCTGTTATTAATTCTAGTGCTTCTTTGAAAAGTCCTTTGAGGTCACAAAATTTAAAAGTTGTATTGTGCTTAGCTATATAATTTTTAACCTCTGCCCATATGAGCTCAATGGGATTGAGCTCGCAATGGTATGGAGGTAAACGGAGCACAGTTTTATTTTGACTTGCTGCCATTTCGTCAATGGCGTATTTTTGATATTCCGCCTTGTGATCCTTGACAATTCTTAATAATTGTACTTTCAGCATTGCTTCTTCAAAGTTGATATTTTTCGAGCGGAGCCAATTTTGAACATCAACTTTCCTTGAAGCCGTTGTTGGGACCTTCTCCATTCTTCGAGAATGATAAGGCGCATTATCCAACACAATTACTGCGTGTTCCTCTAAGTTCGGTAAAATTTTTGAAAACCACTGTTCAAACGATTCGCCATTCATTTCCTCGTGGTAATCTCCAGTTTTCTTAGACTCAAAGCACCACAGACCGTCAACAACAAATCCATCCTCACTGCCAATATGGCAGATAATGAGCCTTTTCCCTTTACCTGGAAATCGAAGTACTAACTGGTGTAGATTTATTTCAATAAGCGAACCTTTTTCAGATGTTTTCATCACATTCAGCGAAAAAACATTGAGACATGAGTATCAGATTGCTATAATTGGGATTATTTAGTCATATTGAAAGAAAGAATATTGAACGTCGTATGATTACTCAGCGCTTCACAATTTAATTTAAAGTTATAAACCTTTAAAAAATGAATGATCAGGAACCTGAAATACGCGCAAATATTAATATTAACAAATTATATCTTTATAAAGCTTAAAGTATGAATTAAAATGATTAGAAATATTAGGAACGGTACACAATATAAAACTTAGTAACTTTTTTTAAGTTTATAATATTCGACATATTTTAAGATTATATTAAAAAATTATTGAAATATCGAAAACACATAAAAACATGGCTTAAAAAAGTTCTAACAAATAAAAATGACAATAAAACATCCACGCATTTTATCGAAAGTTATAAAAGTTTTGTTACTTGTAATATGTTTTATCTGCCCCCTGGAATTAATGTTTAGAACCTTGTTCCCAAGGTTTGAAAAACATCCGATTGTTGTCTATTACTCGTATTTACCTGCTGGATTTTTTAATCCGGTAGACAGTCCATCTAGAAAGGCCCTCCTGGATGAAGTTACAGAATCATCAACCCATACTTTACTTGTAGTGTGTCCTGCGTTTACCCACGTTTCATCAAGGTAATAAATCTTCCTGTTTTGATTTCTATATTTCCCAATTTTTGTTAAATAATCCCTCCTCCATAGCACAATTTCTTCTCTATCCAGTAGTAAACTATTACGACCTCGTTTTTTCCATTTGAAATTTAAATGCTTCAGTAACGCATGGAAAGTTGATCGTTTGAAATTTGGCAACGTTGTATCTCCATTTACCTCCTGCAGTACTTTATCTATAGTAGGTATTTCATTCCTGAAGAAGAATTCATGCACTTTCCTCCTAATCGCATGCTTATCAGCTTCATCCAATGATTTAACAATACTTTTGCGATGTTTACTGGTCATTGGCTCAGAAAAGGTGTGATTTTTTTTGTATTGTCTTAACACATTAAACACTGATGCGCGACACACCCCAACTTTGTGAGAAACCTTCACCACAATTTCTTTGATGGTTGATGCCTCGATCTTATATATATATTCAAAATGACCTCTTTCATTTCTGCACTCAGGTGTCTTTTTTTAGAGCGTTTCCTAGGTGGACTACAGGAGTTTACAACTTCATCGGCAGTTTCTGTACTACTGGGCATTTTGCGCAAGCAGTTGATAACAATAACAATCAATAACAAGGTATAACAATAACAACGACAAACTCAACAACTTAATAAGATAACAAACGAAAACGTCCAAAGAAATATCAAATTGCAATGATGCACACGACATACGTAACACGTCTGAACCTGAATGTGACTCTGCCTTGATACGACTGCTCTGCCGCTCGGCATAGGCATTTAATTGCGAATTGACCAATGAGGGCTCCTGTTTTACGTCGAGACGGCGGCGTTAGCGTGAAAATCACCCGAACCTTTTGTTTACATCCGGTCTATCTCTTATCTGAAGATACTGTACATAGTTGATTGCTACTATTTCTAGGTATCTAAATAACCTCAAGGATGTGTTCAGTTTGACTTTGGTTTGTTCTTTACAATTTTAACAACATTCGTGATTCAAGTTTCGTATACTCGTATAGGTGACCTACCATTCCTAAGCACAACGGCCCCAGTACAGTATTTGTATCCAGGATGTTTGCGGACTATAATGGACAATTGATTCTAATTATTTTCCTGTTGTCGACCTCCCAAGATTTATCTATTGTAGAGGCATCCCGCCTGGAGCATCGCCATTAATTCCACCATTATTTGGATTTTATTCTTTAACAAACTGCAGCATGCCATCCATGGTGCAGGATGCAGTGATCTGCGAGATTGCCAGATTTCTAGACAACGTTTGCAAGATAATTATATAGATATCGATGTCATATCGGATCCACCAAGTTTTCGTTGGTTTTTTATTATACAAAAAACTGTGCTGAAGTTTGTATGAACCTGCCGAACGTACTACTAAATATTATCTTCAAAGGTTAGAATTATTAATTTTCAATGGACTTATCATTGATCACCTTTGGATATTGCTACAATATATGAAAGGTACAGGGAAAAAAGATGAATGTCACAAATTTGGTGTTTTGTAGTTAGTACCTGCAACCTGTGTAATTGAACACGTCTGAGACATGATAAGTCGCAAGCTCTTGAATTTCCAATACCCTTCACAGACTTTAGCAGCTCTTACTCACGTAGTTGCAGCAGCCTGGAATGAGATACCACAACAGGATATCGACCACCTTACTAGCACGATGCCAGGCGTGGATCCTCAACACGTTATTGAACCAGGTTCTGCAGTCAGTTGACGAATAAAGCAGAAAATTCAATCATTTTGAACTATAAACTCATTATCCCTACGAAGGAAAAATTTGTAAATGTAAATTCAGTATATTTATATTACGTCCCTTGCCTTGCTTGGGTGACTAACGTTAACGGTTTACTGAGGTAGGACAGCTTATAATCCCCTATTAAATGTAAAGTTTGATTTTGTACCGAAAAGAAAATCTCGCAGATCTAAAGAGATTTCCATGCTACCGGCATCGCCGTCTTCACCGGATCCGAATCCCCGACCGCGACCGAAGCGCGATCTAGCAGGCGCCGATTGCCGGCTGACTGGAAACGGTGAGTCAGTCTCAGTAGGCTACAGTTGTTGATGGTTGTTTCGCGACGCTCCGCATCAAGGCCGTCAACCTTTTGACAGATACATCGCTCGTGTTTTGTTTATTGTCGCAATCTGCCGTGACGTGCGACGACTTGATTGTTGCGATTCGATCGCGAAGGCCCCGCGTCGCGTAGCCCCTTTTGTTGTAAGTGTGACTTGGTGACCGAACGAATATTGGAAAATGGTGCTTTCGGTGATCGGTGCACGTGATTTCGGACATACAGGTGTTCATGTGGAATGAGGTTACTGCCTACAGATTTGTTTACCTAAGGTAAATATAACGGATTGGATGGATATCATGACTTCGAGGCCAGTTCAGTCTTTGTGAGGTTAGTCTCGTCGTAGATCTTGTTTGTAATGGTCTTTCTATTTCTCTCATATATCATATATCTCATTGAGTAACATTTCTGGTATATGTAGTAATAATATTAACATTCCAAAATCAGGAACAAAATAAGGACCTAAAAGCCGAGCTTGTTCAGCGGCAGCCAGAGCAGTTGTTCAAGGGTCCCCGATTAGTGGAGAAAAGAACTAAGTGTTTTAATTTGAATTTTACGAGGACTGGTTAGATTGCACCTATGAAAGGGAATTAAGACTCCTTAGCATGGTCCGATAATCAGTATTAGAGTCCAACTGAACAACATGTATAGATGATGACAAGAGAAAACTATACCATAAGACATAAGAAGGCGAGTTAGAAAATCCTTCAGGAGATTGAAGTGCACAAGCAAAATAACAAGTTCAAAAAATTCTTCCAAGAAATAAAGAAGATAAGAAAAGGATAAAGGATTCAGGCCTTGGAGTGGTACTGCTATTCAAAATTATCAGGGAACTGCAGCAATAAGACAAGAGTAAATACTGTCTAAACAATAATCTACTGAATATAAAACAGGAGAACTTAGCACCTTACAGCGAATCCCTTGATAGATGACCAAACACTAGATGAAGTTGAAAAGCCAATCGATAAGTTGACCAACAAAGCACCAGAAAAATGATACTATACTAGATAAATGCATAGAAAATGGGGCATAGCACAGCAAGTGGATTAGTGAGACATGGGCTATAGATAGAATACCATCAAGCTGGAAGACAAGTGTGATAATACCCATATACAATAAAATGATAAAATTGTTTGTTCAAACTACCTAGGTATGTAGTTCATCAATCGAGATACAAAAAGTGGTTTCCCTATGGTAATATAAAGATAGGTGACCACCAATGTGTTTCTCGAAAGCATATGTCAACAACAGACTAGATCTTCAAAATTAGATAGCGAGAGAGGAAATAAAACGTTGTGTCCGTTGATTTCAAACATCCTTATGATGAAGGAAACGCGGAGCTTGGAGCTAAGAAGCTATTCTTCTTACAAAGCCTTGCGTTGAGTCGGTAAAGAACATATTCCAAGAGACGCAGTGTCAACAGTGGCAAATACGATGTTTTGCTACTTTCTTCCGTTTCGGTATCAGATTAGCGTATGGGAGGCGGTACCGGAAGGAAAAAGACCACTGAGTAAGGCCTGAAGTTTGAGAAATAATCTGGCAGCTAACGCAGTAACGCAGACGAACTCGTAAACCCTTGGTTGTACTGCTTCAAGAGAGGAACCTGGGTACTCAGATTATGCAATTACACAAAAGTTGCAGACAGATGGAAGTCAAATGGGGGACGTGACCTTTCGTGCTATAGAAGTCAAAAAATGTGTCATCTCAAACACCTATGGTTAATCTAGGATGCCATGCACCACGAAATGTCCTATCACTTGTCAAATGATGCTCAGCATCCGTATAACATAGCAATTACGTTTGTTAAGAGTTGTTCAAGAGTACTTCTTTTCTGGGGTGGTTAAGTTGTTTGAAAACCATAGTATTACATTTTTTCAGCGAGGCTCATTTTTGAGCAAATCAAGGAGCAATATTTATCATCTGCTGCTTCATCTCATCATGTTTTATACCCATTGTTTTGAACGTAATATTTCAGAAAAGGTCTGCTATCGAGTTCGCGTATGGTATATGAACGTTGTCAAGGCCTTTATCAAACCGCCGTGAATTAATGATAGTAAAACGATCTCATAACGGAGACAGATGCCATTGATATACGAGAATGCCACATTCAAATTCTTTATTTGCACTTTTGCTCGCGCACTATTATCTGCACAAAGCCACTTGTTGTATGTATATGCAGAGTAATACGTTCTGGAACCTGTTTGATACTGGTGCATCTGTCTGCGGGTATGGCGATTAACAAACCCACTGAAGCAGAGAGCTTCGACGTACGTAAACACCTGCGGTGAACGGGCTTTACGGCCCTATAGTTATATTGGATGCTGAACAAACCAAGCGTGGGTATTTTTGGGAAGGGTCTTGATGAGAATTTGCGAACAAACATTTTCGGGTCAAAGGCCATCAAAGGATTTGTGTGGTTAAAGAAAGTTCGACTGACGGGTATTGAGGATATTTTGTTATATTCCAGTTGATTTTGTAGATAACATCTCAAGGACTCTGGATGGAAAACATGTTGTAGCGGTGTTTATAGACCTAAGAAAGCGATTTGATGTGGTAGATATCAATATATTATTCAATAAGTTACAAAATATGGGACTTAGGGATACTATATATAATTTGATTAACACTTATTTACTTAATAGGAAACAATATGTGAAAATTGGTGAAACAGATAGCGAGTGGCTATCTAGCGACTATGGTATCCCCCAAGGGTCAGTCTTGGAGTCAGTCTAAAGAGCGCTAATCTTAATGCAAGGTATTTTATTTTTGCTGACGTCACAGTTCTTCTCTATAAAGTAAATCATGAACAGGCTCTGCGTGACGAAGTTTATTTAGATCTTGCTCTTTACTGTAAATGGCTGTTTCGAATAAACTGAAGATCAACATCGGTAAAACAAAATATCTAATTTTTAAACAGAAGAATAAAATATGTATAAGAATGTTAAACTAGTAAAGGTATCAAGCATCAAATACCTGTGTTTAATTATTTATCGATGAGAATTTGAATTGGTCTAGTGATATTATTTTTTTTTGATAAAACAACGTCCATGATAGCTGCTTTCTACCGACATCTTGTCACTTGTTGTTCATGGCAACATAAATCGATATATCGATTCTTGAATTCTAATAAACATACCTAGGTGTTTACTTTTTTTTTGTCATGCATCAAATTGGTGAAACAGATAGCGAGTGGTTATCTAGCGACTATGGTGTCCCCCAAGGGTCAGTCTTGGGGCCACTATTATCTCTATATGTTCTAAATCTAAAGAGCGCTAATCTTAATGCAAGGTACTTTATTTTTGCTGACGACACAGTTCTTCTCTATAAAGGAAATCATGAACAGGCTCTGCGTGATGAAGTTAATTTAGATCTTGCTCTTTACTGTAAATGGTAAAACAAAATATCTTATTTTTAAACAGGAGAATAAAATAATTTAAAACGTTTGCATAAGAATTAATAATGTTAGGGCCGATTTCACCAACATTAATATTATGGACCAATGGGAAAATACCTTATCGAAATGCAATTTGACGAAAGCTGTCAAAGATCTCTGAATATCAGTGATTTCTATTGAAATATTGAATAAAATCGTGAAAATTCGAATGTATTATAAACAAGACCACTTTTGATTCCAACATGATGCTTTTGTACAGAAAAAACAGGACAACTTTCATGTATTATATATGTTATAGGTTTACATTTATCAATCCGTTATCCCCCTCAGCGAATGGGAATGCGGCAAATAATAGGTCGATTTTCTAGCTGTTAAATTTGGCAGCAGATTTGGATGTTTGTTAATGCATGGCACTCTCGAATTTACCAATTTCAATATACTGAAAGTTATCATTACATACCTTTTGAATAGTGTGGATTTGTCTGTATTTTGCAAGAAAATAGAATATAAAATACATTCCATCCAATTCCTCATCTTCCTTTACGTCATAATAGTAATCATTTATTAATTTATGGGTTAATGAATTTCTTCAAAGCAATAAAAACATTATGTCCTCTCCATCCTAAAACACAGATGATATGTGTAAGACGTGTCAATCCCTACATCTCCCTGATGCATAATGCAATTACAATGGACATAGACAAAAAATTATGAAAAATGTTTCACAGGTAATGGTTTTTAAGTCCAAAAATCAAAAAAACTAGTAATGTTTATTGTTTGTCTATTTTTCTTTTTTGACTGGCGGCGATATCTATCTGACACTCGCAGGGTTGCCAAGTCTAACGACGATCACGTCCCGTGGTGGAGGTTGCAAAATGAATCTTTTACATTTGCTGGTTTTGAATTTTTTTTCGTGAAAATTTACTAGGTATCATGATTATAAGCATCTTTGGTAGATTGTTCGATCCGGAATGGGAAAGATTTCCTATTTATGGAAATATTTTTGGTAACATCTAACCGTTGTAATCAGTGCACAAACACTGTGACATATGATTTATAGCATAACCCGCTGCCCTATCAATACAAATTTAACATACAGGTCGCCTAGCCGTGGAGATGCAGTGGTCGGGATGAATATTACGGCAGCAACTGATGATTTGGACATGTCTGGTAACAACGTATGAAGTGAAACTCGCGAACTTCACAAATTTGAAGATTTTGTACAATTTCTTTGAAAATGATGAAAGATATGACTGATTTGGCAGAGTAATGTCGCAGCCAAATGGCAGTCACTCTTTCTGACACAGTCCGGATATAAAGATGACGATACTCGTGAAATGTATTGATACTTCTAAATATAGGATCGAATCGAACATCCCTACTGTCAAGATGTATAACCCAAGGTACCGACGGAGCTGTATTGCGGCGTCATGGAAATACTTTTAAATTTTCATTTGCATTTTTTCAAGTGTTGTGCAATGATTTTGGGACAAATGTCACGAATAGTCTTATAAAGCATAGTAGAGTATATTTCAACAGTTGGCGGAACTTACTCCACTGGGACCAGGAGGGTGAAACGGGATATTAATGCACAATCTGGCAACCCTGTCGCACCCTCACAAAATGGCCGCTGATAACCACACAAGTCACCGTGTTGTCATTGAATAGCATCAGAGTATAATATGTTTTGTGACTGGTACCAAGAGTTCACAGATTCCACACATGTGTCACTCGTGAAATGCAATCAAATAATGTCTAATATAAATATAACCTAGAATGTGTACTCGTCAAAAAAGAAAAATATGGCAAATTTGTAGTTTTTTTTTGCAGGTTTTATGTTTGATGGTAGCTTTAAGGCGTATATTTGGGAATTTATTAATCGTTGTGAATATAGTGTGGATGTTTGTTCAGTTCCTGAACAACGAAAAATATTCAACTTTATGGATGTATGGATATGAAAAAACCTGAATGGTTTTGTGGGGATATCAATCTAAGATGCCATAATGGTTCTGATGTATAGCAAGTAATTGAATGAATGTTTGGAAACGAGCAATATCTTTTGGTAGAGCCTGTCATCAAGTAGGTGCTTAATGGCTATCTGCAAGAGGTTTATAGGAAAAAACACCCAGTATCACATATCAATTGAAGAAAATAATATAAACATGAATAAAAAATC